GCACAGCAGCAAGCAGCAATGGAATCCCAGCACAATAAGCAACAGCACAGCCGCAGGAGGCCACCAGAGGCTTGCACAAATAGACAGACAGAATTAGTAACTACCAAAGCAAGGAAGGGTGACTTCATCTGCTCCGAGTGGGTTATATTTAAATGTACTTATCGTGTTTAATTAAAAACCCAATAACACAGGATTTGTGTTTTTATTTTAACATACTGATTTGTCTTTATTGCCTGCTTTTTCTCTTCATAATTTCTACCAGTTTGGATGACTTCTTGAAAAGAAATAATGCTTTTAGCAGAATGTATGTGAAATTGGTTAACCATCAATTTAACCCTCACAGACAGCGTCCAACCCTTTACTCTGGCCCACCCTGGAGTGTATGGAAAGAATCATAAGTTTTCTAAGCACGCTTTCCAAAAACGCTTCTCTGCTCTTGACCCAGCCCATGTCACCTGAGATAATGTCTCAGCTTATCATCTGTGAAGGTTATCAACTGCTCTATGAAGGCAGAATTTGTTTGTACTAATAGTTCCGGATTTGGCAAAAACTAGTTGTGGTGGCTAGTTTTATTTTTTGGATTTCAGGGTTTCTTGTGTAGCCCTGGCCGTCCTGGAACTCACTTTGTAGACCAGGCTGGCCTCAAACACAGAGATCAACCTGCATCTGCCTCTCAAGTGTTAGGATTAAACATATACACTACCACTCCCAGCTGTGCTGGCTACTTTTACGTCACCTTGACCAAACTAGAGTGGTCAGAGAGGAGAGAGCCCTCACTGAAAAGAGGCCTCCATAAAAATCGGGCTGCAGGCAATGTTCTTAATTAGTGACGGCTGGGGGAGGGGAGGGCCCCGGCCCATTGCGGGTGAGTCACTCCTCGCCTAGTGGTCCTGGGTTCTATGACGGCTGAGCAAACCATAAGGAGCCAGCCAGTGAGCAGCACACCTCTGTGGTCTGTGCATCAGCTCCTGCCTCCAGATTCCTGCCCTGTTTGGAGTTCCTGCTTGGACTTCCTTCAGTGATGAGCAGTGATGTAAAAGTGTGGCCAAAGTAAATCCCTTCTTCCCCAAGTTGCTTTGGTCACAGTGTTGTATCACAGTAATTGTATTCCTAACTACAACTCTAGGATGAGTTTGATTTTAGAGCAACAGGATTAACATTGGTCACTCCAACTTAATTTCACTTAGAACATCATCTCCACAAAACAGGAGAGGGACTGCTACATGAGACGTAGGCTTCCGACGGTCTCCAGAAGGAGTGGCTGCTTGCTATGACACTGCTGCTGACAAATATGATAAATAATAACACGAAGGCTTTTCTTCAAAAGTCAAAATCCACCCACAAACCAACCCGAGACAGGGCTGCACTACCCCTGAGTATCCTGGAATTCTCCTGGCAGACCAGATTGGTCTCAAACACAGAGAGATCCACCTACATCTACTTCCCAAGTGCTGGGAGGTGGACCACCAGGCCTTCCTCCAAAAGTCTAAAATTTAGGGTCAACTTTGGGAAGCATGTAAAAGTTCTTATACAAGTTTTATAATGCTGGACTCAAGATGATCTTAATTACGGTGTATACGGCGTACAGTCTTTGCAAACAACAATGTACAACCTCCTCCCTGGGAGACTTTACCCAGTAAGTCCTCACCCTTAACAAGTCTATGAAGTAGAAAGGCCATCAGTCATAAATAGAGGTCGAGCGGCTGGAGAGACGGCTGATGGTGAGGGACCTGCTGTTCCTGCGGAGTAGTCAGCATTAGTAGCTCACTGCCTGTGACTCTAGCTCCTAGGCAATCTGAGGTCTCTAGCCTCCAAGAGATTGCTTGTGTTTAATTGTTATCTAAAAATAAAAACTTTTTAAAAAAGAGGAAAACAGGTTTGTCATCCTAGCACCTGAAGGGTAAAGGCAAGTGGATCAGAAGATCAAGGTCATTCTCAGGAATTTGAGAGCCTGGTATACACAAGACCTGAATCAATAAAACAAAAATAAAAACAAACAAAAAAGAGGAGAAAATAGAAGGTACAGATCACAGAAGGGAACAATGGCTGCAAAGCAGGCAGAGGACTGAGCTCAGCTTTGAGGTCCATTTAGGGTATACACCAGCAGCTCTCAACCTTCCTAGTGACCCTTTAATACAGCTCCTCATGTTGTCATGAACCCAACCGTACAATTATTTTGTTGCTACTTCATAAGAATAATTTTGCCACTGTTATGAATCATAATGTAAATATGATATGCAGGATAGCTGATATGTGACCCCTAAAGGGTCTCCACCAACAAGATAAGAAACCACTGGTCTAACACTGAGAGGGACAGAAGCTGAATTCTTCAGGGAGCATTTGCTTGCCAAAGTGAGAAAATACAGGATACTTTTCTGGCCCAGCAGGGGAAGTCTCACCTCAGCACTCACAACCATTTTGTGGAGGTCACTTAGGTATGTCAGATACTGAGTGTTATGATCAAATTAACATGCAAAGTAAAAATAACAAAAATGTTCCAAGTATATAGAACAGCATGCAGGAAAAACAGGGAGGTAGGCTTATCCATCTCTCTCAGCTGGGACACATTCATGTGGCTGCTCTCTGTGAGTCCCAGGTGAGATAATGTGGTGAACCCAACAGCAGGTGCTCTACAACCAGAGGCAAAGGCTAAGGGAAAGAGACATTTTGCTGTTGCCACTGTTCAGCTATTCAAAGACTTGATCTCAGTGCCTCAGAAGCTTCCTTCCACCTATCAATCATCTCATCACTTCTTCTCATTCACTGTCCAGGTTTGAGGTTTCAGAAAGCAAAGCTTAGCTTTCACAACACGGGAACCATTTGATCCCTGAGCTTTGCAAGGGCTGGGTGACTGCCAAAACATTTCTCAAACAAGAAGCAAACATGATAAAAATAAGCCCAAACCAACATGCCCTTGACAGTTAAGGATCATTATCCTACATTCAGAATGTTCACCATCTTGGAACCCATTTTGTTTTTCAAAATGAAGCTGGATTCTTTCTGATGCCCAAGGCTCCTCATCCCCCACCTTTCTGGCTCAAGATCCCAGAGCAGCCAAGGCAGCATGAGAAGTACTGCAGGAAAAGGAAACCAGCTTTCTTTCAGGCAGAAGAGAGAACTCTGTGTTATGTCCTCTAACAATTCCAGAGGGAATGAAACGTCATGAGAGAAAGCAGAGGAGAGTCAGGGCTGAAGCAGTGGGAGGTGGAGCAGTAAGGGAGCACAGGGTGGAGGCAAGAACTGGAGGAGGTAGGAGAAGGTGCAGGAATCCCCAAAAGACAGGGTGACAGGAGTGAGGAGATGTGCTCAAGAGATCAGGAATGAAGAGAGGCAGCTTGCACTGGCAGGATGCCCTGGGACAGGTCAAGATAGAGGGACATCTCAGGGTAGTTTATACTGTGGCTCCATCCTTTCCTCTCCTGTTATCTTCCTCTGAAAAGGCTTTTGAAGAACTGAAAATCTTACCAAGCAGAAGGCCATCTCCTTAAAAACAGGCTTATGGTGAAAGAGTGTCAGCCTGACCTCTCAAAATAACTCAATTTCTTGTTTTTGTTTGTTTCTTTTTGCCTTAGCTGTCATCTGAACATGAGATCCCTGTGGCTCTGCTTTGCTTATGCATGGGCCTTGCCCTGAAAAGCCCACTAACTCAGAAAATTTATTTGTGGAGCCAATGACAACATCTAACCACAGTTCAGCATGCTGCACTTATACTGCCCTTGGGAACCACGTTTTCCCTTTGCCCCCTCTTCACTGTGTCCCAGCCACAACCCTCCCTATTTCTTGTACATACCATTCAGAGTTTTCACCAAAGTGCCTAGAATTTTTTTTTCTCCCTGAAGTCCTTCAAAAAGGCTCCCCTTCTCACTCCAGAAAGATCTTCCTGTTCCAGTTATTCAAGGCAGTGCCCTGCCCAACTGTTCCCATCCTTAGCCTACTGTTTCCTGGGCACATCCTACCACTCATACTGAGTTACCACGGTTTCCCTCTTAGGACTCCAAGGAATACCATGTTGTCAACATTGCTCCTAGTACAGGACCTGGCACACAGTAGGCCTGCAATAAATACTACTGCATGAATTAAAGTGAGCAGTATCACTAAAGTCACTTTTAAATACTTTTACTTAGCATGCTTTAGAACAGAATTGAGGAACTTTCCACCAACTCTGTATATTTCAACTGCATTTTACCTCAAGGGCAAAGGTCAAGCAGTCACTGTCACAGTGCAAAGTCTCAGGAAAAACCTTTCAAAAGTCACTAGCCGGGATGCAGCTTCATGAGGTCTGTGGGATGGGAATTGCAAGGTTGTTCATGTGTGTGGGCACCTTTCCCTTCCCATTTCCTTTAGTGTTCAATCAAGTCTATGCCTCCTGCTTTGGAGCAACTGCTTTTAGTGGCTTGAATTCAAGTCACCAACACTATTCCAGGTTCTGGTTTTGGCATGGTTGGGTCTTAAAATAGGGAAATGTCACACACTAACCCCAAACAAACTCAAACTCACAGCAGCCTTGTTTAGGAGTAACTGTTAAACCCAAAGAAATCGTTCCCACTTCCTATGAATCCTAATGTTACTAAAATCAAACCAAGTCTTTCTTACAGCTCCTCCTTGGATGTGCGATACATTACAGGCACCTCTCACGGACAGCACAGAAAGACACAGAGGTCCCGTTCTGTTCTATTTCCTTGAGACAGGGTTTCTCGCGGAATTTAGAGGGAGGCTGGCAGGATTGCAGCAAGTGCCCGCAATCCTCCTGTCACTGCTCCCTACAACTTTAGGTGCACATGCAATCACACTCAGCTTAAAAAATAAAAAAGAGAGAGAGATATACTAGGGATCTGAACTCAGGTCCTCACGATTGTATAGCAAGGACTCTTTTACTGGACAAATACCACGGGCAGTCTGTCTTCTGAATAAGTGCCTTTCCCTGGGGAATAAAGAGGTTACACATGAAGAGAACCATCCCAAAGGCCCAGAACACAAAGCACAGACAGGTTGATGCTCACCACTTCATCCTCTGTCCAGCACTTCTCGATCAGCTTGGGCACAGGCTTCTTTACCAGGCGCTGCAGGGCTTTGCCAGCATCGTAACTGCTTTCATGTAGCTGAGACGACAATGATCTTAGTTAATTAACTGTACCACATTGACATGTAAGCAAATCAATAATTACCTTTATATTCTCTCTCTCTCTCTCTCTACACACACACACACACACACACACACACACACACACATTCTATTTAGAGGAACCAGGGAAGGACAATATTTTGTGGTAAGGGATGGTCAGATGACTAGTGCCCTCCCAACCTAACCCTTACCCTTGAGTTGGAACTATGTCTTTGATGCAGGTATTGAAGGTTGGGGGCACCTATAGGGACACAAGTCTGTTTTGTTTCCCATCGACCCTAAGGTGAATGGCTCCTCATTCATATACTCTCTACTACATAGCATGTTGCTCAACTGCAAGCACAAAGCAAATCGGCCAAGCGACCACACACCCGAAGCCAGGGCGAAATAAACAACCTTCTATCTTTCCAATATGATGTAGCTCAGGTAACTGTTGCAGTAACGGAACGCTGATTTGCATAGGGAAGGAGACAAGTAAAACACAATACTCTGGCAATAAGAACAGCATTAATGTATGGCAGTGGTTTTGTACGTCTTTAATCCCAACACTCTGGAGGCAGAGGTAGGCTGGTCTCTGCCTCCCAAGTGCTGAGACTAAGGGTGTGTACCACTAAGCCTGGGTCTTATTCTATTCTTTTGTGTTGTTTCCAGACAATGTCTCACTATGTAGCCCAGGCTGGTCTTGAACTCATTCAGCCTCCCAAGTGTTTATTATAGTTTTGAGCTATTGTGACCAGCTGTTCTGGTTACATTCTTCTCAAAGCAGCCCAAGGATAAAAAGCCCTAGTCTTTTTAGGGAAGTAATTTACTAGAAATCATTAAAAGGATCCAAAACACAGACTTTCAAAGACATAATTCTGTGATGGCAGCTCTAAATGAAGACGCTGGCCCTTCAGAACAGGCTCCTTTCCTACCGAAGCTCATACCACAGTTTCCCAGCAGGAGGCTGTGCTGCACCCCCCTGAGTACTCCTGTCCTCCAAAAGCACTTTGTCTACCTTTCCTTCCAGATGATGATGAGAGCCACTGGGCAGAAGGATGAACACCTTCAAACCACAATGCTCTCTCGCTGAAACCTTTCTTCCCACCATAAGCCCTCCCACACACGTGCTTCTGTGTGAGCCCAATGCCACCCAGGCTGCACCTCAAGACGACCCTGAAACATGCTTGCTAAATTAAGTGAAAGAACAAAAACCTTCAACTACTGTTCCTTGGTGAACTCCATCCACGCTGAAACCTCAGTTTACCTACACTTATTAAGCTATTATTATCCAGTCTCTGTAGCCTGCCTTCTTTCAGATGTACAAAAGAGTAAAATAAAGTCAGATGTTCATACTCTGCTTAAAACAAGTAGGCATTTGCCAAGTTCTCTAATATAATAAGGACTTTTAATGATATAACATGAAATAAAACTGAACAGAAGGAAAATTTATATGCCTATTCAATTTAAAAAGCACATATTTCAGTGATAACTTAAAAATAAAATCAAGATGATCAAATTGAAACTTCTAATAAAAAGCTCAGGGGGAAAATTAATAACATTTTTATAAGCAGCCACTCTAGTGTATGGATAATGATGAGGCAGCAGGGGAAACTATGGACCATGGAGCTGGTCTGCTTGCATTAAATTCCCACCATTTATGAGCAAGTAACTTGTTGGGCTGCTAAACTCCAGCTTCGGTAAGAGTCTATCTCAAAAAGTATGGTGGGGAGGTGCTAGGAGATCATATTGCTCTTTCAGAGGCCTGACTCAGGGCCCAGCACTCATCCTGGGTGGTTCACAACTGCCTGTAACTCCAGCTCCAGAGGATCTACTTCTCAATCTCTGTGGGAACCTACAGTCATGTGAACACAGACATATACACATAATTATAAGTACAAAATTAAAATATATTTAAAAAAGAAAAGAAGATAGTGATTAAGGAAGACACATGATGTCAACTTTTAGTTTACATGCGCATACGTATACACTCATACACACACACATATACACACACACGTACACACACACACACACACACACACACACACACAGGGCTGGAAAGGGAAAGTCACAAAGAGACAAAAAGAAGAAGCACTCTCAGGCCAGTTTTGTTTTGTTTTCTTAGATAGGGTCTCACTGTATCAGCCAGGTTGACCTCAAATTCACAGAGATCTACCTGCCTCTGCCTCCTGAGTACTGGGACCAAAAACTAAAGGCATGCAGCACCAGGCTTAAGATTGGTGAGGTAATAAACAAAGACACAGGATACTGCAGTTTGTGAAGTTTGGTGAAAACTCCTAGTAGTACGGTACATGGGAACTTTTTTAAACATTAAATTTTACGTATCTGGGATCAGGAAATTACTCCTAAGAACATACAGCCTGGTCTAGAAGCAAACTGAAATAAAATATCACCCTGCCTGCCTCTGGGTGAACTAAAGAGAGCTTTAAGTTACAGCTGAAGAAGTATGAGTGGCTACTGGTTTATCAGAGAATACACTGCTGCCTGCACAAGACCCACAGCCGACTTTCTGGTGGGGTGTTGAATGGATGAAGCGGCATCACTCCCACCATCACACCTGTGCATACAAGCCTCCATCTGGACATGCTTAAGATCACACTGTCTCCTGAAGCAACCATGATGGTAGCCTGACCCTCCTTTGCTCATGGGTTTCTATTCTCAACAAGCAACTGACCTATCACCAGCCTAGTCTCTTAACATATTCCTATTCCTGGCTTCTCCCAATATGAGCTCAAGCAATACTCAGGAACCACCACCCATCCTTTCCAAAACAAACATACATCTGGAAGGAAACAGTGTGAGATTAGTTGCCAAAATGACGGAATATTTCTAGAATGAGTAAAGCTGGCCTAGCACTATGGTTTATCCAAATGTGACAAAAGCTGGCACAAAAGCTGGGACAAATGGCTGTTTTGCATGCCCTTTTCGGAGAGAACCACAGGGAATCTTGCTAGAGGGACACTGCCTTCTTTTATCATAATCATCACCTTTTAACCACCTTAAAAATTTATACACACACACATCATAAAGCACACTAAAATAACTTGTCAGATGCCACACACAATGGCACATGCCTATAATCCCAGCACTTCGAAGGCGGAGGCAGGTGGATCTCTATGAGTTAAAGGCCAGCCTGGTCCCCAGAATGAGTACATGACAGCCAAGGCTGCACAGAAAAACCTTGTCTTGAAAAAACAAAAACAGACAAACAAAAACATTTATTTCAATTACATGTATGTGTATCTCTGCACATGCGTCTGTGTGTGCATGCACATAAGTACAGGTAGTTGTGGAACCCAGGTCCCTTGGAGCAGGAGTCACAGGTGATTGAAAGATGCCTGACATGGATGCTGAGAGTCAAACTTGAGCCTTCTGCAGAGCAGTACATGCTCTTAACTGCTAAGCCATCTCTGCCACTGAAGGATACCAACTTAACAAAACAATCACTCATGTCCTCTTGCCAGGAATCCTATCTGAAAAAGCTCAAGGCAGAGTGGGTGATGGTTTCAGATCTTTAAAAAAGCACCATGCAGAATAGCAGTGGTGCACACCTTTAATCCCAGCACTTGGGAGGCAGAGGCACATGGATCTTTGAGCTTGAGGTCAGCCTGGTCTACAGAGAGAGAGTTCCCCGGCTACACACAGAAGCCCTGTCTCGAAAAAAAAAAAAAACAAAAACAAACAGGGGGTGGGGTGGGAAGAAAGAAAAGAAAAAGAAACACTACTGTCCCCTTATCCATACAAGAAAGCTTTCAAGACTCTCAGTGGATGCCTGAAATGGATAGTGGCACCTATATAAAACAAGTGTTTCCCTAAATATTCACGTGAATGATAAAATTTATCTTAACTAGAATAGTTACAACAATATAGCATAAAAAGTTTGCATGACATCTATGACTTGTTTATATCTGGAATTTTTCATATAATTAACAGTCATTTTTATTTTATATATATATCAATACAATTTACATGTTAAATAACATCAAAACAGAATGATTTCATTTTAAAACTGTATTTATTTTTGTGTGTATGACTGTTTGCTGGAATGGAAGCCAGAAGAGAATGTTGAATTTCCTGGAACTGCACCGTATGGGTGCTGATAACCCGTCCTCTGCAAGAGCAGCAGATGCTTGCTTAACTGGTAAGCATCTTCCAAGCCCTGTATCATACAGTTTTGGTTTGGAGCCATTTTGCTTTGTTCTGTGTAGAGACAAGGTTTCTATGTGTAGCCTTGGCTGCCCTGGAACTCACTCTGTAGACCAGGCTGGCCTTGAACTCATAAAGATCCACCTTTGCCTCCCTCGTGCTGGGATTAAAGGTGTGTGCCACCACAGCCCAACAGTGATATAGTTTTAAACAGAAGAAAACTTTATGTTACGGACACCTCCTACCCTCACCCTAACAAATCTGGCAAAACATGAATCACTTTTCCTGGTAGCCAGTGACATCGAAATTCTAGTAGCCAACAGAGTTCCAGAGAGAGCCCAACTTTCACCGTTACTGCCTTGAAATAGTGTCTGCTTTAGTCTTAGCACTCAGAAGGCAGAGGCAGGTGGATCTCTGTAAGTTTGATACCAGCCTGGTCTATAGGGTAGGTCCAGGACAGCCAGGACTATGTAGAGATGCCCTGCTTCCAACTGAGGAAAAAAAAAAAAAAAAAAAAAAAAAAAAGAGGGGGGGGGGGGGGGGGGCGGGGGTGGGGGACAGTTAGGGCTAAGCTAATAATGTACCTGGGAGCGTATCTCTGAGTTTGAGGCCAGCCAGGGCTATACAGTGAGACCTGTCTAGGACAGGGCTCCACATAGATAGCTCACAGCTCATTATGTATCTAAGGAGGGCTGGAAACTCCACAGCCTCCTGTTTGCCTGGACTAGAGTACCACCATGTCCAAATACTTACAGTTCTGGATTGCAATTAACTCAAACAGTAGAAAGATTGGGGGCTGGAGGGAGAGCATGTAACTGTAATCATGTT